TCCTACACTGCAAACCAGAGCATGCATTCAATCCTACACAACATGCAATGGCATGCTGTCCTACACTGCATGTCTTGGGTGTCACAGCAGTCCTACACTGCTTGTCGTGTACTAGTGTGTAGCAATCCTACACTTCAGGGAAGGATCTGATTAACAGGGCAGTAAAGTGAAGAGCTTTCATGTCTTACAGAGAGCGGAATTCACTCAGTGAATTCAAACAGTAACCATGTTGCATTGTGTGCAAACAAGGACATTGCAAAAACCCTGGTTCATTTGTTTTTCAGAAAATGTCAGGCCAGAATAAATGAAAATGGACAAAGAAGAACTTGCAAAAAATGCTGTTCCTGAAGCAACTATTTGACTAGAAGAATATAAAATGTCTTCCCATGACATGATGTTAACGATTGACTTATATTATTCAATGAGCTCAAATATTGTTTCAGACAAACAATATCTTCAGTATTGCATTTGAACACATTTTCATTCTAGTGTTCATTATGCTAATATTCTAACAGCTTTTTTACTAAGATATTATGCATTTGTTCTCTTTCAAAAAAAATTTTTCACAATCAAATATTTTCACAGTAGAAATTAATTCTTTAATGTGATTGAAAATATGCCCCACAAAAAATGCATGTAAAATTTTTTTTGCACTTCTGAGAAGTTGGGTGCCACCGGGTTAGGTATCCCAGACTCTGCAGCCCTTTCTGTTCCTGCCATCTTCTTTAGATGTGCAAGGAGTAAAAATGCCCATGGACAAGAAAAGCAAACCTAACTAAATCATCAACTGATATGTCCAACTCTAACAAAGTAATATCACTCCTTAAATATGAACATTACGTACCTGAATCAACTATATCTCAAATCCAGAATTGTGAGAGCTGGATACATGCCACAGCAGATATGCATGATTGGAAGCAAACTTTGATTTTTAGGCAGAAGTTTCCTAAAATTGCTGGTACAAATGTTCGTTTCATGGGTATTTTTAACAATTGTGGATATAAAGAGGCCATTTTATTATTTTTTCAAAGAAATTTTGAAAAGTCTAAAAGTATGTGTGACATTGTCCTGGTTCATGGTCATTTTTATCCGAGTCATGGGTAGCTTGTGTTTGAATCGAAGCCTACTCAGCAGCCATTCTTAATTTTTTTTCTTTGTAACTAAAAGCCAAGGTCTGGGATATAACATTGTCAAGAGGACTGCAACTCATTATTGGCAGCTCATAAAGTAAAATAAATATGCTTATGAGAAAAATTCCTGTGCATTTTACATGTGGAGGATGCTCAAAATTATTTGGTAACACACAAAGTCATCTCTCCATTAGCCATCTTGACCTTAAAAAATTGACATCTTAACTCAATCAAAAACTATGGATCAAGCTAGGAACACCACCCTCACCAAGTGTACCATCAACCGGGGCTACTCGGGACTGGCGGGGTAACTCAGGACAGTCCTCAGACACGGCATAAAACTGTTATAAGGTAGTAGCAAAACTAATTGGAATACTGCAAAACTAAATATAGTGGCGTAAATATCAACATTTTTCCTATCTATGTAGTACAAAGAAAGTCAAAAAATACTACATTTACTAGCTTTAATTGACCGAATTGTCCTATCTCATTCTCAAAAAAATGGCGGCCCTTTCCGCACGACAGGTCTACTCGGGCCACCCATATAACAATATTTTGAAAAGTTACTTCTGCTAAGGTCTGTATTAAAAAAATATTTGCCGTATTAAAAAATTTTGCTTAGAGAAAAGTGGCAGACAAGTGTCAGCATGAAAATTTTATTTGTGGAATTTACATACCTCAATCCAAAAAAAAAAATGGCAGCCATTTCCGCACGGTGGGGCTACTCGGGACACCCCCCGGGGCTATTCGGGACACCCCCAAAAACGCATCAACAGTAGAACCTAAGTTAGCAAAGACTCCAGTTAAGAAACAAATTGATTAGAAACAAAGAATATTTATTACATTTACCTCGCTCGGCGAAAAAATTTCACTCATCGATAAATTAGTGCATCATCGGTCATCACAAAATTGTGCAAGGAATGTCATATATAGAATTGTGCACCAGGCATCATAGAATGAAAAGTAATTGACCTAAAAATAATGTCACATCAATAATACGGTAATTAATGTATATGGCAATATCATATCAATAAAAGAAAAACAAGTAAAAATCACAGAAAATGTCATTTATTCTACCTCTACATCATCTACAATGAAAGAGGAGGACTTCAGAGTACTGTTAGTAATGGATGAGTACGCTCTGCATGCTTCAAATATTTTAAAACGAAGTTTTATTCCCTGTGTCCCAAGTGGGGACACTGGGAATAACTGGGTTCAACGGGGCTACTCGGGACTCTCTGTTTTTGCTTCTTGCACCTTACAATTAGCATATGGAATTTTTTTGAAGATGCCATTCGATAGCCCTCGCAAAGAGCTATAAAATGAGCCTAAATTTGTTTATGAAATGTTTCATGTTAAGAAGTTATGAATGAAAAACGTTCAAAAGTGTCCCGAGTAGCCCCGATTGACGGTATCTCCATATTTTTTATTTCTTGTATATGTCACCCGCAGTGATTGTGATGCATGTGTGATGTTGCCAATCATTGGGCATCTGCCATTTTGATCGATCGATTTACAGATGGCATTCCAATTACTGTGCATTGGCCATTTCAATTGTAATATGCATATGTCAATGTCAACAATTGCGCAATGGCCATATCAATTGTAAATTCGGATTCATGGAGAAGCATCCTTGATCATACATTGGCATCTTTGAGGACATAAATTCAGTATTATCAATATAAGTTGTGCAATTCTTTACAGCCTAGAGGGACAAATGTTTGCTGGAGGTAAAGTTATTCAAATGCCTGGGGACACAACATGGTTTAATGATGCAAAATAAAGATTGTAACAATAAAAAAGCAAGATTAGCAAGAGGATGGGCAACAAATGTCAGGCATGATTGTTAAACTACCACTAATGATAAGAAAATATTTGCTAAGAGCTCTCTGTGGACTCTGCAGATTCTAGTACCTACCAGCAAACGGGGTAATAAGGGACAGGCAGGGTAAATCTGGACAGTCCTTTGCCACTGCATAAAAATATTTCAGCAGCAAAACAAATTGAAATATTGCCAAACTAAAAATTTTGGCATAAACTTCAACATTTTTCCTATGTATGTAGTCTTCTTGTCATACATTGACTTCTCTGCAGCTAATCCTTTAGCCTGCTGCTTAAGAGTTTTCAGATCTTTTTTTGGCCTCTTGTAGCACAAAGGAAGTTAACAAATCATACATTTACTAGCTCTGAAAAATCCCTGAAAAAATGTTGAAAAGTTATATTCTGAAGAAGTACTTCTGCTTAGTGTAGTGAAAAATCTTTGCTGTATTAAAAAATTTTGCTTTAGAGAAAAATAAAAGTTGCAGACAGGTTTTGGCTTTGAAACTTCATGGACTGAAGTTTTGTACATCAATCAAAAACAAAATGGTGGCCATTTCCACATGATAGGGTATTAAGGGACACCCCCCAGGGCAATAAGGGACACCCCTAAAAACACATTTACAGTACAACCTTGCTTAGCAAAGGCTCCATTTCACAAAAAAATTGATTAACAACAAAGAATTTTGATTACATTTACCTCACTTAGCAAAAAAAGTCTCTTGATTAAAAATAAATACATCATCGACCATCACAAAATTGTGCATAAAATATCATAGATAGAATTGTGCACTGGGCAACACTGAATGAAAAGTAATTAACCTAAGCTATGATTTATTTCTCCAAAAAATATGATGGTTGTCACTAAAATATTCCTTTATGTTTCAGGTATGTTATTTCACAATGTTCTTTTTTTGTGTAGTGAATTCACTTGACCCAATTAAAATTGAATGAAATTAAAAGCCCAGTCCTGTAAGCTTGCAGATACAGAAGAAATGCTATATGGCTGCTGACATGATCTTTAAGAAATCAATGTATGAAAAATATTTCTAAGCCTCTCAGTCCGCCTCTGCAGCCCTCCTTAGCACATTCAAGCTAATCTACCTGCTGGTGACATTGCTGCCAACTTTCCATAATGCAAGCTTTTAATGAAAAAATAGTGGAAATTTCCTGTGCCTCAAGGAGTGATGTTTTTATTCTGAAATATAGATATAAGATTTGAAGTGTAACAGTAACAGGCTTGGTTTTCCAATAAAATACTTTGATTACCAACACCCTCCCCAGGGCTGCAATGCAACATGGTGATTAGACAATCAAAATATTTTGCTATAAACTTGTAAACTCCAAAAAATTTATATAGAAGATATTTTATTGACATATATGGCTGAAGTTGAAGATTTTTTGACTGCCTTTGCTGCAAGTAACTCAAAATTTGATATTTTTAAGGGCTGCAGTAAAAATGAGTGAAGTTTTCTGCTTCCAAGAAGAAATACAAAACAAGAATACTTAGATAAAGTAATTGAAACTAGTAAATTTAAGGCACATAGCAATCAGGAGGTCCTCGCTCACCCGAAGATTTCCTAGTATTATAAGCATAAAATTTGAATTGTATCACAACATCTCGTGTTCTAACCATTTTATCAAGCAAATTAAAGTACCGTCGAGCAAATTAAAGTACCTGATGAACTGACGTCGCGGGCCGGATTCGGCCCGCGGACCGTAGTTTGGTGACTCCTGCTTTACAGTATGGAATGTTGCTCAAGGATCAGTTTCAGACATTAAAAAGCTCTGGGTACAAATTTCAATGAAAGGACAGGTTGCGATCTTGGCAACCATTCAAATTTGTACCATCATTTCAAATTAAAATTTTTATATATCTTAAATTTAGTCTTTTGTCTCATTTTGTACAATAAATTTTGAAGAATTTTGACAATTGAAACTTTGAATTATTGTAGAAAATTGAACCAAATGTTCAGTCCAGTGCTTTTGATATATACCTGTGATCTGTGAACTGTAATAATATTTTTTATTTATTAAGTTTTTTAAAAATACCAATAATAATAATGGTAGGCATGAATAATAGTTTTTTCCCCAGGGCACTCCAAGTTTATAGGTATTGAAATTGCTTTCTAACTTCTTTAACAATCAAACAACCATGGAGTGGTCACTAATGCTTCACAGAGCTCCTAAAAGAGTGAACCATGCAGCAGTTGTTGTGGATGACTGCATATATTCCTTTGGCGGATATGTCTCCAACCATGATTTCTCAGACCGAACAATTCCAATCGAAATTTTTGTCCTCAATACACGTAAGTGATAGATTAACCTTTTGATTTCTTTTTGTAACTCCTATCTTCATATTCTTCGCATTGTTATTTCATGTCATTTGTTATTATGTAGTTGTGATAGTAAAGCTTATTCATTTAATTTTATTAATTATCACTAGAAAATTTTTCATTAAATTGCTATAATTATAGAATTGCTCTGGTCTGTTAGTACTATCAGCATTTAAAGTCATAATATATTTAAGGCAAAATTAAGGTCCTAACGGCTAACAATTAATTTTCATTTTCAGGCACATACAAATGGCAAACGCTGATTGTAGACAGCAAAAATGCCCCCTACAGACGCTACGGTCACACTGTTGTTGCTCACGGTAGAAATGTCTACCTCTGGGGTGGCCGCAATGACGAGTACTGTGATGGAATTCTATATTGCTTTGATACAGGTAAACCATCACTAACTTGAGAGAGAGTCTAAAAAACTCTCTGCTTTGCCACTATGCCATCACCTCAAAACAAAACTTGTAATTTATCTTGTCACTATTGCATGCAAATCACCTACTTATATATTGAAAAAGTAGTCTTGTTATTATTTTATGAAGTTTAATGATTTTTTAGACCCCTGTTTTATTTATTCTTCACAACTATATATTTCATTAAACAAATTATTCTTTGATCAAACTTGGGTAATAATGACCATTGACCATTTTACAAGTACAACTTCTTCTACACAGTTTCCCGTAGTTGGTCACAACCCAAAGTGAGTGGAATTGTGCCTCTGGCATCAGATGGACATGCAGCCTGTATCCACAAGGACACAATGTACATCCATGGCGGCTACATTGAACAGATCAGCCAGTTCACTCTTTCCCTGCATGCTCTCAACCTCTGCACTCTGGTTTGGACCGAAATGCCCTTGAAGGTAACATCTAATTCCACTCTATAAATTTACATATATATAGGTAGGGGCTTGTGCTGTGGGTATTTCCCTGATTGGCATGTTTTGTTTCAGCCTTATACATGCCTGCAGGTTCTATTAAAAAATTTTCTATAGACGTTAAAGTAGGTATATATAGGTATGAATACATGCACTGATCTGAGCATTGAATTATTAAGAATTTTTTTTTTTTTTTTTTTTTGTTCCAGAAGAAATGCCATATGTTTGCTAATAATTATTTTTTCAATGTAGTATTTTTAGCACAGTGATTTGATTTTTTTTTTCTTTCCACATATATCATTTAAATTAAATGTGTGCTTATTCCTCTTAATTGTCAGTGTATTCAATAGCTTGGGTTTAGACGTGGGAATAAGTAGCTAATAATTCTTACTGAACATGTTTTCCTTGAAAGCTATACAATTAGAAAAATGTACATAAAATATTTTTGTACTTGTGGTTCATAACTCTGATCTGTTTACAGGGTCAGTACCCTTTATTCCGGGACTTCCACACTATGTGCTGCGATGGTGATGGCAATCTTCTTGTGTATGGCGGGCGTGAGATGCCTAATTCTGTGTATGGCGGCCCTGATAAGGAGACCTACCCCAACAACCTGCACATTTACATGGTTGAGAAGCAGCTCTGGAGAGCAGTCTCGTATGCCAATACTGACCACACGCCTTCTGGTCGCCGCTCACATTCTTCATGCAAGTTTCTAAGCGTTCTGACTAATTTCACTATTTCTTGTGTTAGAAATGGATGACTTCTCCTTTTTCTTTATTTTTCTAATAATGAACTTCTAGTTGCTCTTTTTATTAACGTATCTCATTTTTTGAAAGACTTCAATTCAATTTAGTTGAAAATTACTGTCTGATGGGGCTATCTCATTTAGTCAACATTTATTCCAGTAAGATATCAGAATTTGCAGTTATTCAAGCTTTATTATATCAATAGTGGTTTTATGAAGCAATTGATTCAAATTAAATACATAAAACAGTCGGTGATATCTTACTTTACTAGAGTACTGATGAGCAATTTATGTGTAACTAAGTCATAAAAAGCACGCCATTCTTGAGCGTGCTAGATTTCATTAATCAAATTCCTTTTTGGCAGACAGTACCGTATTATTCAATACTTTTTACAGTTTTCTACAAGGACAAGTTGTTCGTATTTGCTGGTTTCAACAGTCAAACGGCAATGCACATGAACGACATCTTCTCTTTTGATATGCGTGAGTGCTCCTGCAGAATTTTGGTACATTTCATATATCGTTTTTCTATTCTGTTTCAGCAGTGAAAGCCTGTAATTTTTATTAGTTCAAGATTTTTCAAAATCGCCTCAATTGTTATCTCAGCAAAGTTTTAGATTTTGGTTTCTTCCCTTTCACTCTCAATAAAGTATTTAAAAATACTTCCTTGCCTAATTCTTCACTCACTTCCTTTCTTAACTTCTTTTGTACCTTAGAAGTTATGTACAAAGTAAGTGTGTAATTACCCTTTTATTGTAGTATAGGCCCTAAACAATAAGGCTATCGTGAATTATGAGGCATTTCAAGCTTCACCATTCACGTGAATATCGTCGCAAAGGCACGTCGTCGTGGGTGTGTCACAGCCACCCTGACGTTCGTCCGTCCCCGCGTCGCCGGCAAGCCATGTGCAGGATGGGCTCGCTGGTGTACATGTTTGGAGGCACGCACCCCGACACCTCAAACCCCAACAACACCGACAGCGAGCCCTACGACAGCGAGGACGAGGAGAAAGAGAGCCTCGAGGAGCTCGAGGACCTCTGGATCCTGGACCTTGGTGAGGGAGAGGGTTTTGGAGGGGAGCTCAGTGGCGTCGATGAGGAAATGGGGTGTGGATGAGGAGAGTGTAAGATGGAGAATGAGGCCCGGATTTGAGTAAGTAAGTCTTGAACTTTGGGCGTGATAGAATTCATCTGTGTCAAGATGCCAACGTTCAGTTCATGGATTTCACCGTGTTTTTTTAGTAGATTAGCATGGCATTGTGCTCGGTCTTGCCCATGCCAATAAAGATCTTTTTCAAACGTAAGCTTCAACAAGTTTTTGTTCCCTCGTTTACTGCGTTATTGAAATATTTTTTAATCTTCATTGAGATCCTATCCAGTTGTAAAACTCCTGAATTTCTAAGACTCCTTATTGAGTTTTTGTTCAGAGCCTCGACTAGAGACGCTGGCGCTGCTGAAGGTGGTTCGGTCACACCTGCCTCTGACCGGCCTCCCTGTGCTGCTACAGAAACGCGCTTACACCGTCCCTATCAAGGACCATCGGTATGAGACGCCTGTAAAACCCTGCAGATGGAAGTTAATCAAGAAATTCATCTTCTTCTTCGACTTCGACTGACGACTTCACCGACATCGACTGCCGTACCGCTTATATGTTGGACAGCCGACCATTGACCACGCCTGACTTCGACTCTGAGATCTATATTCTTAGAAGAAACTCTTTATCGAGAACACTCCTTGCGTTACAATCTTTCATTAACTTGCTCGCCAGAATTTTCAATTTTAATTCAACAGCTTGCGTTCTTGATGCTCTATGCATTACAATGGTTCTCTGACTTTTAAAGAAAGAATGATTTATTTTCAATATACTGTAATGTATTTTTTCTTCTTTATCAAGCTTTGACCACCTTTCTTTAACCACGAAAATTTTACAGCTGAAGAAGACAGTGCATGCTTTAAAACTGGTTTGACCAGGACTGCACGTTGATAGACTTCGGTCTCTTGAGTCCACGTTGCGGTAAAGTGTCATTACGTTTATTCTATGTTGTTAAACTGGGGTTGACTTCGCTATTATTATATAATGAATCTATTTATACTTGGCTGCAAACTGTGACGTCTCTCCGTGGCATCGATTAACGAATCTGTGAATATTCTTCACAAAAGACTACGAACGAATAAATTTCTGTTCGACATTTACTATCGAAGTATTATAACTCTGTTAGAATAACTGACGAGAGTCTCCCTGTGACTGATTAACGAACTTTTCCTTCTCTTTACGAGATGGACGTGAATGAATTAGTGCTTACAATATATACAGCTAACCTTTTATTTTGTGTCGGTTGATTTTATATACCGTATTTTACCTGGTTCTTAACGCCTTTCTTAGGAGCTCTTTATGGCCGCCATGCATTTAGTTCCCAAATTTACTTGGGCTTCTTAGATCTTAAATTAAGTTTTCCAATTGATATTCAAGAGGAACTTTTTTTTTATTTATCGTGGACTAAATAATTCTCTTGTTTGTACGTCGCTTGAAAATATCAAGATTTTTCTGGACCTGACATTTCCTGACTCCTGGTAAAAAAATTGCAGGGAACTAAAGGGGCACCTTTAGTCTCTCTGGTAACTAGAGGCAACTCTTGCAATATTCTGTGCTTTTTGTGTAACGATTTGGCTGTAACATTCACTCAAGTTATCCCATATTTCCTCAGACTGCGGTAAATCCGTTGACTTCTGACTTAATTCAATCAATTTATTGCGTACTCTGATTTGATTTTAAATTTCACATTTGAAAGTCTCAAATATATATATTGAATGGGATTCAACATTTGTTACGAACGATTGTCCGTTCTCAACGCCACAGCGATGCTCTGGATCCTCTCATCTGCCGTTTTTCTATTTCCGTCTTTTAAAATAAATTGGAAGTACTTTTCCAATATCGAAAACATGTTTTCTGTTGATTTTTTATTTTGATCCCTCTTGCAGTATGCAAGTGTTCTACCAATTTGATTTACTGATTATTAACTCTTTAAATTTACCTTACATTCCCATCCAAATCTTTACTAGGCTGAAAATTTACTTTATTTCCACTTAATATATCTGTGGTATTTTGTAATTAGTTGAAGTGTTCGCTAACTTGTCCTTATACTTGCAGGTATTCGCCTTATCAAAGCTGTGGATCGCGCCGGTCATAAAGCGAGCAATGCAGCACTGCTCTAAACCAGAGACTGCATCCACCCTTGTCTTTGTTTCGTCATGAAATACTTATTAGTATTTCAATTATTTATTAAGGAAAATACCATGAATATTAAATTTTAAGACTAGTATATAATGTCTCCATTCATTGTCAGCGATCTTTATTGATGGTCCGATATTTGTTGAAGTTTTGTTTTTTAAGGTTCCTTTGTAGTATCCTAGGAAGGATTTTTTCCTATTTCAATTGGCCTAAACTGGTTAATGAACTGGAATCTTAGTAGCGAAATGCTCTTCATCTTGATTGATGCTGACGAACAATTCTTCCTCTTAATTTATTAGTTGGAAATCACCTCCTTTTTTATAAATATGTGAACTCTGTTAATGCTATCTTGATAAAATTGTAACACACTAGGCTTGCTTATTTTAGCAACGGATTGACCATATTGATGTATTATTAAGATTTTACCAATCTTAATTAGATGACTACGTTTTCTATTCTTTGTTTGGTTGAAGATCTTTTGATTTTCCCTGTTACTTTTCGCACTGAATGCGCTTGCGCTCCTAAGTTACGAGGGGTGACCCAAAAAACCGGACTGCCTGTGTAGTGGGTGAATTTTTGGTATCACCGCATCCTCCAAGTATTTGTATATGCTACTGACAGTCATCAGTTGGTGTGCTAAGCATTGCTGCCCTAGAAGGCCGTGTTCCACCCTAACACATTTTTTTTGTGACGCTTCTGTTGCGCGCTGGTCGTTTTTTTTTCTAATTGCTCGTTTTCGTGAGCAACGTGCTGTCAAATTTTGCTTTCTTGTATCAAAAATACATAACAGATGAGAAATATAAATGCTATTGATAGCCTACAAGGAAAATGGCTATGGGGAGATTGCAAGTTTCTTTTAGTAGTTTTCCATCTTCAAAAAAAGGTAAATGTCAATTGACCTCCAACTTCGCTCAGGTCGTCCTTCCACTTACCGCACTGAACAAAATGTGAAAATTAGGGACCAAATCCCTGAAGATCAACGTAGAGGCATTGACGAACTTGCGGAACTGTAACAAGTGACTTGGAGTTCACTCCAGCAAATTTTAAACAATTTTGGATAAATGAATGTATACCTAAAAAACCTGTTTTTTTCTTGGGTCCCCTCTCGTATGTTAATATACCGTGTCCTGTATCATGGCCGCAAATTTGGAGCTAAAATTTTGAACGAAATTTTTGCCTTTCGTCAAAATTCTTGCACCCTACTTGCTCTCAGCATCTCTTATTATTAATCTCGCCACTGAAATGGAATTTATTTGCAGGTAATTTTGTTTAATGTGGTTACTGCTGTCTTGTTTTATAACGAGACGGACGAAAAGCTTCCTGTATTAAATGCAGTTTCTTTAAAGTTCTATTGGCTCTTCCTTCCTGGATATTTAACATTTAAGTCCTGATCTGAGAAATTATATCACTAATATTGAATCCTCATATCAATAAACCTATTAGAAAATAACATTCTAGGTATCAAAAGTCGACTGTAGTCTAGTGTACAGAGCGCTCTGACGTCTGTTGTAATTGTGGGAATTCATGTCGGCTCTGATCACATCGATGCGCGTCAGGCACTTGTGATATATTAGGTTCTTGCTTGTTTGTCAATAAGTATATAACTTTTTTCCACCTTGAACCATACGATTAAGGTTGTACCTATATCAGTTCCTGATTCCCTCATTTTCAAAATTTTATTTGCAAAATGTTAGCAACCTACATAACTACACACTAGAAACACTTCAAGTTTAATCCAAACCAAAGCCCTGCTACATCGCTCTTAGAAGGGACCGTACTATTGTAATTCTTGACACTCCTTATAATCATAATCGTAAATGCTTGTAGCACTCGTACCAGTCGTTCTAATTTTTGATTTTGGCAAATTGGCATTAGTTCCGCCATTGAACGAATGTGATTGTGACACGACTTGTGGCCACCGAAACTTGAAAAGGACAGAAATTTAGTCGAGAATGTTCAAAGACGTGCAAGTATGATAATTCCACGCTTGAAGGGCAAGTATTACGAAAAAAGATTATGAAGCTTCCAAGCCTCTTATCGACTCATGGTTTATACAAGGTCCTAGAATGATTATTAGAATTTGAAACAAGAACCAACACCAGGGGCCACGGCTATGAGCTAAAAAAACTGCGTTGAAACTCATCCACGCGACAACATTTCTTCTCGCTTCGAGTCACCGACACGTGGAACAGCCTAGGCTCCTCGTTTTTACATCGTTGTCGCTTCAAGTATGAACGCGTTCAAGAGCAGACTAAATAAAGCTATGGAGAAATATATGTTCAAACTTGAAATTCCTAGCACCATATCGAACCTAGTGAAATTTTAGTAGCTATTTCGAAACAACACCAGTTTTTAAAAAGTTCTTGTCTTGTCAACGGACCAGTTTTCAGACTCCTGAGAACAAGTCGCGTAAAGTGCAAGATTCGGCGACAGCCACATCAGGCAAGGCATATTCTTCAGCGCCGACAGCTCTATGATATGATTGTGTTGACATTTTCTTTCTGTCTCTGTGATTGTTTTAAAATTTTCCATAAGGATCCGTTCTTATAACATTACATAGTGAAGTCGGCGCTGATGAGTAGGCCTGATGTGGCCTGTCGCCGATTCCTGAACTTTTCGTGACTTGTTCACTGAAGATCTAAAATCGTGTCATATGACAGGATATTTTCATGACTGACGATAGTTTGAAATAGCTACTAGACTTTCACTGGGTTCGATATGGTGTTAGGCATTTCGGTAAGCCTGCCGAAGACCACCACTGCCCTGGATGTAATGGACTATCATGATTCCTGCCCTCCGGAACGTAGCCTTCAACACTTCAAAAAATCATATAGGCAGCCGAAAGCCACCAGACAGAACGAATCAATTGAATTAGACCAATCAGCCCTCAGGAGAAACAGCCGGCGATCGAATGGCCTAGCGTCGTCCGCCGTACCGCGAAAAAATTGTACACCACTCGGACGTAGCGCGCCGGAGCCTTGCAGCGAATGTGATNTGTTATGCTCTAACTAAGAAGAGTTTCATCAATCTTTAATATAACATAGATTTTTACGAGGCACCGATAAGATACTCATCATTGCAGTTAGAAATCATTGGGATATTTAATTGATCAAATCTATTGACGTTTTCTCCTGCAGATGTAACATAGAGCCTGTCTCTTATACACATCTAGATGTGTATAAGAGACAGTGACCAACCAGCCCAGGTCGCCAGTGGAACTGCATGCATCCTGCCGTGCACCACCAGACCGTCACTTTTTGCTCAACATCCGGGGTTAGGTTTCATAAAGCATCGTTCTGTTCCAAACTCTATCGTCCGCCAGCGAGTGACTTCCGCAGCTTCGCTAAATTACGTAACTTTTAGCTCACTGCATCTGGTGTTAGGTTCCAGATAGCATAGTTCTGTTCCAAAATTTATCGTCGTACGACGCGTGGCCGTTCGACCGTGGGCTGATTCGACACAAGGGACAGACGGCTACGGTGCGCTCCGTCCCGGTGGTATGAAATTTTTTCGCGTGTTGGCAGACAACGCTGGGCCATACGACGCCAGGCTTATTTTCCTGTAGGCTGATTGATCTAATTCAATGGATGTGATCTGTCTGGTGGCGTGCGGCTGATAATGTTACAGTCAAGATGTGTAGTAGGCTACGTTCTTCAGGGAAGGTCCATTCGAAGCACGGCTGATAGTCCATTCGAAGCACGGCAGTGGTGGTCTCCGACAGGTCACAGGCGTCCCGTCTTTTCGATGAATCTTAAAACAGTTTCATTACTCTGCTTATGCTAGAATTGCGTAGTCTGAGGACTGCTGTTGTAGTTTCATGAGCGACTGTAAAAAGCAGGGTTGGTTGTGCTATTCATTTCAATTTAAAAGTTAATCTCTCGGTAAAAAATTCACAAATGCACTCCTCTGAAATATGAAATGAAATAGCGGTTTCAGCGTTTAGTAGGCCGCTGGCCTGTCGCCGGTTCTTAACATCGCAGAACATTCACAGCATTTTGCGGTCTCGAACTCGCAACTCACTGCTTCAATTCTGCTGTGCTTAACCGCCCGGCCTCCTCGTCGATTCTGACCAGAAACTGGCGCACAGAGCTGGGATCGAACCCGTGCCTCTCTGTTCCAATCTTGGTACTCTGAACTGTAACCACTAGGCCACCCTGCCCTCCTCTGTTTATGGTTGCCTGAAAATACCTGCAGTTATAAAAATTTGTGTCTCGCATTCGAATTACACTTATAGAAGTTGAAGGGTTTGCTAAAAATACGAACGTCGATTGGATACATCATTGCATTGAACATCTAGTACTGGATTTATTGGGCACATTGGCAGGGTGGCCCAGTTGTTACAGTTCAGAGTTCCAAAATTAGGGCCGAGAGGTGCGGGTTCCATCGCTGCACTGTGCGCCAGTTTCTGGTCAGAATCGGCGAGGAGGCCGGGCGGTTAAACACCGTGAATACTGGAGCAGCGAGTTGCGTGTTCGAGACCGCAACAAGCAGTGAATGTTCTGCGATGTTAAGAATGTGCAGCAGGCCTACGGCCTAATTAACGCTGAAACCGCCGCTATTACTATTACAAATGCCAGTTTTCAGTGTGACTATCTTCAATCCAATCAGAGTTAAACTGCTTCTCTGGAAAATATTTTTTTATTAATTTTTTCAATCTTCTCACTTGGGTGAAAAAAAAAAGTTTTATTCCAGCTGACTTGGACTAAAAGGAAAGTGAAATTATCTAATGGTTTCATTCCATTCCGGTCTACTTTGCCAAACAACCACTAGGCAGGGTGGCAAATTAGTTATACAGTTCTGAGTACCAAGTTTTAAGCAGTGAGTTGCGGGTCTGTTCCCAGTTACCTGTGACAGTTCTGGCTAAAAATTTCGCGGTAGCCGGCCTGATTAAAAGGTCAGCTAAATTGGAGCAGTGAGTTGTGGATTCGACACCTCAACAAGCTGTGAATGTTCTGCGATGTTTAGAATCATCCATAAGCCAGCCTAATTAACGCTGGCATTTCTATTGTTATTTCATACTGTAAAGCGCAAGTCTTGTGAAATACATTTTCGGCACCATTGGTCCTAAGGAAGTGAATGCTGTGCACCATTTAGACGCTGATTGTGATTTCAGTTGAACGTCTCTTAACAGTACGTACTAATATTGTAGCTTCTAGATTACATTGATGTTCTCACATAAACTTTCATGACAGTCAAAGTTTGGTGAATACTTCTCCTATTTTCGTATATTCGGTTAATTATCGGTAACTACTGTACAACTCTCTGTGTTCAAGATCATTTAGATTCAACCATGATAATGATCAAAAGACATTAATTAAATTTAAATAAATTATCTTATATAAAGTATTCTAACATTTTTTTTTAACTTTTCTGAACCGAGTTCAGGTAAGAAAATAGCCATTGAGGGCAAGGCGGTTTCAAGTAATCATTTTCAAATAATTTTTGAGCCAGGTTATGAATATGACAGAAGCGGCATGTATGAACGAACTATGACCGCAGCTATAAAGGCATCAATTCGTCTTGGCGCAATGTGCCCACTGAGCTCGTCCTATAATCATCAACATATGAAGTTTCAGTATGAAAAATGTTGAATATCAATGAAAGATGATATTACCCAATACCCATTTATTGTCTAAATTCAAGCATTGCTAAAGCGTTGTTAGTTTCAAGTTCTTCGAAGGATTAGATGTCGTCTAAACAGAGATGCAAATTCTCATCTAAATATCATCACAAACAAGTACTAGGCTACATATGAAACAGTATTAGTTTCAATCTAAAAATTTTAATATTTAAGCAAATGACTTGAAAAATTATTCCAATTTAATCACTGCAGAATATATATCAGCAATTATTTTTTAAAATTATTCTAATATAAGAATCAATTTTTTTCATTGTTCTTCTTTTTTTTAATTCTTAATTCTCTTTAGCCGAGCTCAAGTATTGTTCATGGAACTTATCATGGAAGCATGACAGACGATACAATTTTCTCTCTGGCATCCCACCGAAGCTAGTTGCCAAGTAGGGATAAATTTAATTTAAATTCTATTGAGAATGGAAACTGAAGATTTAAAATGCTAGAAACTTGAATTTTTAATACTTTCAAAGAGTATTGTAACTAAGTTAGGATAGATTTTTTTAATTCCATCTCTTTTCCTTAAAATGTTTGAATGTTCACATGCTTTTATACCGGTAGAAGCGAGAGAAGTAACCAGTACGGGAGTTGCTCTCGCAGGTGAAGTTACGTTTGTGTCTTCCTGCGTTGGGTTTCTGTTCTATCGTGCAATCTGTTTTCATGGAATTTATGGCATACGAACATTGTAGTTGAACTGATCGTCTCTTCACTTACGTTAAAGAAGGGTTGTGACCCTTTTTTTTAATTTATTCATTTATTGTGCATTGAATAAAATCTTACCAAGATGGCCGCAGATATAGATATGAACGATCCCGAGTTGAAGTATTTGATGGTGACTAAAGATGGTCTTGAAGATCCTGCCTCTCAAGCCGAGTGGACGCAGAGGCGACTTGTTTGGATCCCTCACAATGAACATGGATTCGTGGCAGCCAGCATCAAGGGTGAAGTGGGAGATGAGGTCGAGGTCGAAATCGCCGACACTGGAAAGAAGGTCCGAGTTGTCAAAGACGACATTCAAAAAATGAACCCGCCGAAATTCAACAAGGTCGAGGATATGGCCGAACTAACCTGCTTGAACGAAGCATCTGTGCTGCACAACCTCAAAGAGCGTTATTTCTCAGGACTGATTTATGTAAGTATCTTGTAATACCTAATCTTTTACTAAGCCAACTCAGACTAATGGGCCTAGGCCTACTTCTGTAACTTGAGTAAAAAATCAAGATTATTCAAGATTAGACTGGCTGTCGACTGGTTTGGCCAAATTTACCATTGCAGATTAGACCCCATGGTCACCATTTCATTTACTTCATCTTTTTATTTATAGTGCACACCATACATTATGATTTATGATATGTGACACTTGTTTCTCTGGCCTTGGCCTATGACTATGAGTCTATGAGTATGACCCTATTACATCTGCCTTCGTCTTCCACCTCTTGGCTGATTTGAGCCTTGAGGTTGTTAACTTGTTAGATGGTCCAGATTCCAGAACCAGACTGGGATTGTTATCCTGCAAGATCTCAATTTCTTTTTTGGCTTCTATATGATTCTATTGATAGAAAATGTTCATAAATGGTTCATGTTTGTATTCAAGATACTTGATTAACTTAATCAAATTCAAATCATTCAAATGCCCCATGTCAATAAATAAGTCCTGGATTACAATTTGGAATGATAGGCTCAGGCTGAAGCTTATTAAAGTTGTTTTGCAGGTGATTTCTGTTAACCCCAGGTAAGAATAGCCCATTTACTCATTTTTAGTGAAAAAATTGTGAAATGCCATAGGAATGGGTGTAATTGGCCAGATACATGGGCATTTTGTTTAATTCACAAAAGGTTTCTGTTCAATTTTCCACATTGACTTTTGGCCTGGATTTAATTGGAATTATTATTATTAACCATGTAGGTATATAGATACCCTCCCTGGCATCCCATTAGGTTACCTGTTTTCAATGAAGACTTCAATAACATACTCTTTATCAAATTATTAATAAATTGAATGCAGTACATAAATAGATATACATAATTTACTTTGAGGTTGGTCCCCAAACTCCCCATTGCTGCTGTACAAGATGTCAAGAGCTCTGAGTAATAGCTCATTCATTTGCATATTTAATCAGCAGACTTATTAATTAATTAACAGGATTAATTTACATGGTTTTTTGGCAGATTTCATGCTAAAACAAAGTCAACTTATTCATCTCTTTGGTATTTCAAGAATTCAGCTTAGATTTAAAATTCATTGAATAATTTTTAGATGTTGAATGTTACTAGCCATCAATGCTGGAAGAAGTAATGGTTTCTACTACTCTACTCATTTGTTTGTACTGTATTCATACAAAGACATTGATCATGCATTTTGAATATCACAAACTCACACATGGTATCAAGAGGAATGTTTAATCATCTGAGTAATGGAAATATTTTTCCATTACTCAGCTGTATAAATAATATGCATGTATGTATTATTCCCCATGCACCTCTTGACTCATCCTCCTCCTTCTATAGAGACAGTGAAGGAATTTCTTTGAAAAGTCTAAAAAAAATAAAGTTTAATAAAAATTAATTATACTATCTGAAAATTATTTGACTTGCATCTTGTCTGATGGAATTTAATCCTAAATTTGTAGCAGATTTATTGTTTTCAGTATTTATTGTAGCAGATTTATTGTTTCCATTCCTAGTTCTAAACTGAAACTTGAGTTTTTATATCCCATAATTTTCCAATTATTTGCTTTTAATTTCATATGTCATGTACATTTATTTAGGGAAGATAAAAGTATTTTAAAAGTGCCCCTGCTTCAAATACTTGACAAAAGCATTTTTCTAGCAAATATAGTAAGATTAGCTTTAATCAGCTGCCCATAATAAATAACGGATTATTAGATAACAGATTTTTAATTTTTTTGCGTGCAAGATTTGCATGACAGTACATTAGGTGACCAATATTCTGTATAAAATTTGTGTGAGCTGCACCATGGTTCTGGAATCATTTTCTTTAACTACTATTGAAATCATTCTACCGTACCAGCCCAGCTCTGATAATTTTATGAAGGCTACAATGCACGACCTTGCCATTAACGTTGTATCGATCTCACAGTAAATAACTGTCATTGAACGTACGTGAGTCATGCTCTGACTCATGACTGGCACTGGACTCTGACTCACCGCTCTCCTGGACTGCGGAGACCCACGCCTCCAAAAATACCCTTACGCATTGCTGGCAATATCAAGGAACTGTTCAGTCCAGGACAAGCATTGCGTTGGTTTGAAGAAATGACATTCCGTACTTAACATTCAATATTCCAGCACGATAATTGATCATTAAATAAAGCCGTTCGCTTTACGTTGCGAGAGCAAGACATCAATACCCGCTTATAAATAATTCTTATGATATTGCTAATTATCCAGTTTATCATCAATTATTCGCGCGGGAACATCCTGTTAATCGCTGGTGCGTCACCACAAAGTTCGTCGTCGTCAGGATGCCTATTCCCAGGAAAGCGCTGTAGAAGTACCGGCAAATGGGCGCGGTGTTTCACTTTCTCCTCGTTCCCATAAACGGAGCTCTGCTCACGTGGCGCTGGGCTCTGGCATGCGATGCTTTCACGCATATAGTTTGCCATCAAATCGTCGCGAGCACTGCAACAACTGATCACTAATCAAAGATATATATAGACTTATTTGTATCGACTCGATATATTTGTATCGCGTTTGTAATTCCTCGTTGAAATCAAAGTTTTGTGGCTGATTTTGCTGCCTTTGTTACATCAGACGCAAAAAACATATTGGGCCCGGGTGGTATTATTAAAAATAAAAACCTCTCATCCCTAGGGAAATATTCTTTTTACAATTACAATTGCTTCCGAAAATTTACATTTAGGACTTCGTTAGTAGCATTTTTTTCGTGGACGATGAAACATATCGTTCGTTGTCCCTTGTTTTGGCCCACAGATGCCACTGCGGATATCCTCTCTTGATAACTGACTTGGCATGCTCACATGCATGTAGGTTTTGCCACGGCAGCATCACAACATCGTTTCCACTCTTATTTCTTCTTCTAAATACCTATTTGTTTATGTGGAAAGTTCCTTTTTAGTTTGTACTTTCCTTCGAATGATGTTTATATTACACTTGAATCAACTTATTTCGTTCACTTCTCGTCCTCATTTGTCCATGTATTCTTCTAGAATTTAGGTTAAGCATTGAGAATTGTTTGACAGGTTTACTTTTGTATTCAATGTCTGTCTGCTGCAGTGATGGAATAGCATTAAACGATATCAATTTATAAGCTTGATTTACAAGTCGCTTGTCGAGCATAAACAATTGCGATTGTTGAATCACCAGCGGGTATATTCAGTTAATTAGGATCATTATTTATTGCCAGCTCAGCGTTACGTGTTCTCAGGGCTTCACAGTGGCTGCTATACCTAATGGTTTCTGATGAACTTGGTGCTCATGAACATTTGATGAACAACTCGTCGCAAACATCTCATTACATTTGAAAATTAAATTTATGTAGGATTCAGAACAATATTTAGACCATTAATTACAATGAAACTAATCCAGGATGTTGAAGATTAGTAGCTTCTGTTCGAACTAAACTATTTGCTCGTATTTATAGTTTTTTTCATGCCATAGATTAGGTATGACATATTGCGTCTCAGAAGCTTGAGTGCCTAAACTTATCGACATTAGCTCATGCATATGGCGCTGTGTTCTGAACTAATTCACTGTTTGCTAGGTATGAGATACTGGCTCGCCATTCATCATGTGTGACAGGCTCATTAGAACTCGCCCCCAGCTAGTTGGCTGTTCCAGTACCTCTCTATTATTTACTGATTCTGCAATTGATGAACTATGGCGCTTTCTTGCCACCGACGTCTCGTACGACGACAACTCAACCGCTGAACTTCCCATTGCCAATTGACAATGTTATTTGTCGCGCTTGACGAAATATGTCGGGATGAATTTCGCGAAGGCCGACGCACAGTTTGCGTCTATTTCATATCCGAAAAGTGATTACCTATGTTGCTAGTGCGTCGGGATTTTTTTCTTCAAATATGAGCCTTGAATTTTTATCCTCAGATGCACTGCTGTTTTTGAGTTCATTGGCGTTCTTCATTTCTGATTGTTATTCCAATTGATTGTTCTCTGTGTGAATGGTTTTATAACAGATTAAAATTTGGTTTAAATCTCTCTTCTCTCGTTAAAAGACAACTGGGATAGTTTAATAATCCGGCTTCTGACTCCCTTTCGTATCCTTGTTTTTAATCGAAGCAAGCACCTTCTGCTTCGTCTGCTTGATGAACTTAATTTTTGAACCCCCATGTATTGTTCACTCGCATAACCGAGGCATATCACTCTGTGTTGTTGCTAGGTGTGTGATGTGTTGCGACGTACGTGGCAGTAGGAGGTTATTAAGGGCATGAAGTGAAGCAACATTCCTCACGTTCCTTGGGACTAGCAGCGACTGTCGGGAAGTTCCTTTGGCTCCGACTCGAGCCGCTCGCGTGACCTTGAGGGAGGCCAACAGCCACCAACCTCTCGCTGCTGCTGTCCCTCCCCCTCCTCCGGATCGCTGGTGACAAACTTGTACCTTTCTTCTTGCTTGCAGTCAAGAAACTCGTTGTTTTCCTATTAAGATAAAGAGCAATGTTGTGTTCAACCAATTGTTCTTTTTATACGGTTGGCGCATTTATCAAAACATCTCACGACGCATGTGGGAATTCCATCTAAACCTTCATATTTGCTTATGGAGCAGCGCTGGCTCAATACCCATCCTTTCTATCTTATTGTGTTACTCGTACCAGCAGTGCGTTCCAGTCCACCGGTATATATGCGCTGGCACCTGCGTCTTTCTCCACGTTGAGTTATAGCTTGCAACAATCTTATATAAGGCATTTACTCATCCTCTCAAGGTTTTTTGACAATGAAAATTGCCCTTAACACGTTCCGTGAAGCTGTAGTGTTGGTGTTTAGAATTGTATTGATCGCTTCAGACAATTTCTCAACTGTGATACTTTTTCGATTATTCTATCGTAAACACTTTAATTGGTTCAAAGCCACGAATAATGTGGAGAATGAATTTCGATATCCTCTCTCCGATGTGTTGTCTATTGGGGGACATAA